AGCATAGCCCAGTCTAATCTAATAAGAGCTCCTGTGCCTTATTAATTATTAACAAAAGTCTTTCCTATATTTCTTCAAGCTCTGTTTAAATTTTTTCCCGTGTAAACTGACATATACCCAAGGTAGGTAGTTGCCTTTTTTAAAACTTTGGCTGGAAGATGATTTTATCAGAAAAGACATTGATATTCCTACTGAGGATAATAAACTCAGGGAAAATCAAAAATGGCAACAAGAAACCTTTCACTTGCTGAGAAAGCTTGCTCTTTTCTTTTCCCTTCTCCTCACTGTCCACATACAATAAATGAAGAAAATTTTCTGAGGAAATGCCCTAATAATTTGTGAAGATAATCTCAAAAGATTTTGAGATTTTCAATTAATACCTCATCATTCTTGAAATTGGATTCTATCGTTTAGAAAGCTATACCCATATTTTTTAGCTAAAATTTTAAAAAAGCAAAAATAGTAATAACCAAGAAAACCATAGCTCAAATGTTAACCTGCCCTCTCAATAATCTGAAAAGCTTACAGATTCTGTTTTCAAGGAATAATCTCCATATAAGTATTCTTTCAGCAGGTTCTTTTTTTGTAATCTAGTTGTACACATTCTTTTCACATTGTTATATTTTGCACACATATGCACAAAAATTATGAGCCTTCAAGAAGAAAATATATGTGGTCATCTATTTCTTCACTGCCAGCACACAAGATTTTAACAGAGTTTATTTTAAAATAAGGCAAGGAACCCTTAGAGTCTGAGTTGTTTCTTTATTAGAGGTGTGAGACCTGGCCCCACACATTTCTGTTCTGGAAAAAGTCCATTGACACCTTGAATCACTTGGTAACATAAATCAAAATTAAGCAAGTCTTAGAACATAAGTTTCATAAGCCATAGCAAATAAAAAATAGTAAAAAAAAAATAACCTGATGTTCAAATGCATTCACATAAAACTCCACAATATTTACTGCCCAGCAGGAATATGTCAAAATAATTAGACAAGTATTCTGTACATGAGAAATCCATGGAGAACTTGAAATAATCATGGGGCCAAAAATGTAGGCACATGTAAATGAAAACTACATATGAATTGTTTGCTCCCACTACACATCTTTGAACTAAGAACTATATCTATCACACACCAGGGCCTGTTGGGGGTAGGGAGCAAGTGGAGGGAGAACATTAGGGCAAACACCTAATGCATGCAGGGCTTAAAACCTAGACAACGGGTTGATAGATGCAGCAAACCACAACATGTATACCTATGTAACAAACCTGCACATTCTGCTGATGTATCCCAGAACTTAAAGTAAAATTTAAAATTTTCAAAAAGAACTATCTCTGGCCGGGCATGGTGGCTCACACCTGGAATCCCAGCACTTTGTGAGGCTGAGGCGGATCACTTGAGGTCAGGAGTTCGAGATCAGCCTGACCAACATAGAGAAACCCTGTCTCTACTAAAAATACAAAAACTAGCCGGGCATAGTGGTGATGCGTGTAATCCTGGCTACTCGGGAGGCTGAGTTAAGAGAATCACTTGAACTCAGGATGCTGAGGTTGCTGTGAACAGATAACACGCCATTGCACTCCAGCCTGGGCAACAAGAGCGAAACTCCATCTTGAAAAAATTAAAAAAGAACTATGTCTATAATTTATTAGAGTGGCTAGACAAACAAGGTTCCTTCAGTATTGCTTAATGACAGGAGTAAAAGATGAAAATTGTTAACATGCCAAGTTGGAGGACATTTTATTATCCTAGTAGCTGGTTCAAGACTTTCTCTTATGTAAACATTTGACTTTGCTAGAAAAATATCATCATAAGCCCCTTTGGTGTAAAATCTGAAATGCAGCAGGGTTTGGATGTGTATAGAAAGACCTACAATGAGGCAGTGAGGGGAAGAGGAGAGGTGGAGCCTGTAAAATGGGAGAGCAGTGTGATGGAAGAAGTGACACCACAGTGTCAGTTTCAGTAGAAAAGAGGTGAAGAGTCTGAGCTTTGCCTTCATGTTAGCATCCGGTGAAATCACGGCAGTACACAAGGACACCTGAAGAAATAAGTTATTGGAAATTCATACCAATTATTGCAAGGTGCACTCCAATCTTAAAGGCCAGGGCTGATGACAAGATCATTCATCACCATCTGATATGGTTTGGCCCTGTGTCCTCACCCAAATCTCATGTTGAATTATGATCTTCAGTGTTGAAGGAGGGGACTGATGGGAGGTAACTCAATCACGGGGGTGGATTTCCCCCTTGTTGTTCTCATGATAGTGAGTGAGTTCTCGTGGGAACTGGTTGTTTAAAAGTATATAACAGCCGGGAGCGGTGGCTCACTACTGTAATCCCAGCACTTTGGGAGGTCGAGGCGGGCAGATCACGAGGTCAAGAGATCGAGACCATCCTGGCCAACATGGTGAAACCCCGTCTCTACTAAAAATACAAAAAAATTAGCTGGGCGTGGTAGTGCACGCCTGTAGTCCCAGCTACTCAGGAGACTGAGGCAGGAGAATTGCTTGAACCCGGGAGGTGGAGGTTGCAGTGAGCCGAGGTCGCGCCACTGCACTCCAGCCTGGTGCCTGGTGACAGAGTGAGACTCTGTCTCAAAAAAAAAAAAAAAGTATATAACAGATCGCTTGAGCTCAGGAGTTTGAGATCAGTCTGGGCAACATCACTGTTTTTTAAATTAAAAAATAAAAATAAATAAAATAGAAAAAATGTATAGCATTTCCCCTTCTCTCTCTCTCTCTGTCCTGCTGTGCTACGTGATGATTGTGCCTCCTTCCCCTTTGCCTTCCACCATGATTGTAAGTTTCCTGACGCCTCCCCAGCCATGCTTCCTATATAGCTCGCAGAACTGTGCACCAATGAAACCTCTTTCCTTTATAAATTACACAGTTTCAGGTAATTTGTTATAGCAGTGTGGGAGCTGACTAATATACCATCATAACTAACATTTATTAAGTTGCTTAATTATGCACCAGATATTGTTCTAAGACCTCTATTCATATTAACTCAATACATCCTTATTGTTCTAAGAGCTATATTCATATTAACTCAATAAATCCTTACACCAGCTATGGAAGGTACTATTAGTCTCCATTTAACAGAAGAAGAAAGTGAAGTGCATAAAGGTTAAGTAATGTGCCCAAGGTCGCACAGATTGGTGTGTATCTGTGTCAGAGATAAGATTCAAACCCCAGCCCTCTGAACTCAGAGCCTCCCCTTTATACCATTGTGCTGTCTCTTATTTTATAAAAAGAGACTATAAAGTTCATCTAAGTCTTCCAACAAACTCAGCTTCCTTATAAAAAGCCATGCTCTTACTAGATGCCCATTGTGATGAGGAGGTCTCTAATCTGGGAGCCAGAAGTATTATACTAGAAAACATACTTGACAACTTTTGAAGACAGAAAAATCACCCACTTTTGTCAGTACCTTAGGGAAACCAGTTTTGTGAATCATCAATGAAAATATGAGTATAAAAAGCATCACTTAAAATTCCTCAACAACACATCGAATTTTATGGTAAATAAAGCATTCTTTACTGCAGAAGGCCATGCAGGTATCTTACTGACTGACTCATCAGTAAAAGCACATATTTTGTATACATGAGACAACAGAATTTATGTCTTAGAAGACATCTGAACAACTAAAGTATGCACCAAAACTAATCTGTATGTCCATGAGTCAGACAACCAGGACAGCAGGTTTTAATAACTACAAAACAAGAAGGAGAAGGACAATGGTCACCAAAAGGCACACGGGTGACTAATGAGTTATGACTAACAATATTTCAAAGACAGTTGCAACATAATTGGAAATGGTAGCAACTACATACTGGGTACAATAGTGATTATTGTCTGGGTCATAGAAAAATAATAGTATTTAAGTTCATATACTAATACTTCCTGAAAATTTACCAGAATTTTAGTTACATCTATAGACTCACAAAAAGTGTGTCCTTAACAGATAACTGTGAAAATAATGCTTCCTTTGAAATCCCCAGCAAGTTTAAAATTGTGTTCATCTCTGAAAAAAAAAAAAAAAAAAAATTAAGGCCTCGTGGAAGGGCTCACACCTATAATCCTAGCTGTTTGGGAGACCAGGGCAAGAAGATTGTTTGAAGTCAGAAGTTAGAGATCAGGCTGGGCAACATAATGAGACCCTGTATCTACAAAAAATTTTAAAAATTAACTGGGCACGGTGGCATACTTGAGAAGCTGAGGTGAGAAAATCACGTGGGCCTGGAAGGTCAAGCCTGCAGTGAGCTGTGATCATGCCACTACACTCCAGTCTCGGAGACAAAGTGAGACATTGGCTCAAAAAATAAATAAATAAATAAAAGAATTAAACCAAATAAAGGATGGACACCCCAGTGAGGAGTTAAGACATATAATTCTTTTAAAATCATTTCATAATAGAAAATCAGAGGAATAATGAGAAGAATTATATAGGTATTCAACTCCATCTTTCCTAGATCATTAGGAATAAACCTATAAACTTTAGAGGTGGGGGACATCTTAAGATTATTCTACTGTTGTACTATAATTATTAAATATAAATATTTAATTGTAATTATTGGTAAATTTAAATCAGTAAGTATCCCATTTCTAGAACATTCAATTTATACTTGGGCATCTAAACACACACAATTGCTTGTAAAACACTCTTCATGTAATTATAGTTCTAAAGTACTTTGATAGTCATGGTATATTCCTTACTCTGAGAGAGGCAAAAAGAAAAAAAAAAATCAACAAATAAATAAATAAATGACTTTAGTAGACAAGTCTCCCACTGAAAAGTAATCTTTGGAGGACCAAAGATAGTTAGCAATTTATCAATACTATTAACTTCCCTCTTCATAAATCCTAGCCTAGGGATAAACATATCTAGGCTACACTAATTTAATTCACAAATTAGAATAACAAAGAGAAACTCAGGCCTTTCAGGTCATAAATATCACTAAAGAGTAAGAATTTGTTGCAAAGAGTCTTCAATTACATACCAAAAAGTTATGAACTTTCTTGGTCCAGTTCTGTTGTCTTTGACCTTTATGGGGGAAAAAAAAAAAGAGAAAGAGAAAAGTGAGCCATGAGATTTCTGCCTGGACTTAATCACCTAGGAGAAAATCAGAATCCCACCACATCAACCCCAAGAAGCAGCAACAAAATAGTAAGTTGGTCATCGTGAAAATGTTAGAGTAGATAGCTCGGCAAATACAAACAGGTCAGGAAAGTCCCATTACCACCACCACCCAGGAAGATCAGGCAATGTTAAACCATCAGGTGATGGTCAGGCAGTTGTTAAACTGTCTCTCTAAAATAATAATTGGTGGCAGCTGGTGCCAGGGAAAGGCAATCTCCCAACAGATAGGAAACACTTGAAGCTGGTGATCATCAGCTGCCTGATGAGATCTCAGGAGTTGGCCAATGGGCCCAAGCATGTGCAGTAAGAGGCAAAATGGCAGAGTTTAACTGGTATATGACCTCCCTCCAGGAACACTTGGCTGGTAAGGGAAAAATGCCTCAAGTGAGCACGCACACAGCTTCAGTAAACACACTGAGCATGCTCTCATCTTAAGTGCTGGCAGGCCACTACACATGCGGAATGCCTGCCCTGAGGGAAGAATCAGGGGAGAAGAGACAGAAACCCCTGCACCATGCCAATGTGTAAAACTTCGAGCCAGAGATCAAACAGGGCACTTGGATCTCTCAAGTTGTTCACTTGGCGCCTTCCCAAATGTACTTTACCTCCTTTTGTCCCTGCTCTAAAACTTTTTAATAAGCTCTCACTCCTGCTCAACAACTTGCCTCAGTCTCTTATTCTATGTCATGCCCCTCAATTCCTTCGACGAGGGAAGAGTCAAGTTGCTGCAGTTAAGTACCCCATTTCTAGAGCATTCAATTTATACTTGGGCATCTAAACACACAAATCGCTTGTAAAACAGACTCTTCATATAATTAAAATTCTAAAGTACTTTGATAGTCATGGTATATTCCTCACTCTGAGAGGCAAAAAAAAAAAAACAAAACAGAAAAAGAAAAATAAATCAATCAACTCATAAATAAGTAACTCTAGTAAACAAGTCTGTACAGAGGCACCTCTGCTAACAATAACTTCCCAATGTCTCTCTCAAAAAATGAAAACAAAAGTTTTATCTCATAGGAAAGAAGATCTAGGAAGCAAATTATCACGAAATCAATAAACTAAGATCCTCAAAATGGAATTTTTTTCTAAAGAGGATAGTTAAAAATCATGTTCTAACCCTTTGAATTCACCCCATGATACATTTTTACTTCACTTTTAAATACCATGAAAGATGTGCACGTTCTTTCACAGCTTGAGAACTCCTATCCATTTTCTTGGAATTTTTCCAGCAGGAAAATGTTCAAATTAGTAACAACAATTCCATTCATTGCCTAAAGCATATATTTATAAAAACACAGATTTTTCTTTTTTTAAATCTATATATTTGCATCACACAGAAAAATTAAGTGGTAGGAAGATATGATCTGTAAAGGACACATTTCAAGATCTGTATTTTAATAACTCAATCTACTTGAGTACTAGGATTCTTTACATTTTTTTCCAAAATTTTATTTTGAAAATGTTTAAAACTATAGAAAGTTTGTAGGAATAGGTAGCAATGAATACCTACATGGCTTTCACCTTGATTCCCAAATTATAACAGTTTTCCATGTTTGCTTTATCTCTCTGCATATCTAAACATTTTGCTGAACCATTTAAGCCACTGGTAGACCTAAAGATGGTTTACCCTTACATACTTCAGCATGTACCTCCTAAGAGCAATGATCCTGCCACAGTTACGTAATTAATAATGGTCACACTCAGGAAATTTTAAATGGACACAATGCTATCAATATACAGTCCAAATGTTCCCATTTTAACACTAATGTCTGTTTCAGTGTGGAAGATTTGTTAAACCTCATTTTAAATTCTGGATTTAATCAAGGATTACCAAGGCCTGTCTATAGTCTCCTTTTACCTCTCATGACATGTTTTCGTAGAATCCAGGCCAGTTGCTTTGCCTAACAGCCCTCACTTTGGATTTGACTGATTGTTCCCTCATGACTAAGTCAAGCATTTTTGGCAGAGGTAGTCACAGGTTGGAATGCTTTCCTTCTTTATACATATTAGGAAAACCACATAACATGTTGGATTAATATCTTCTTTCAATCACTTAATAACACTTAGTGATTGCCTCATATAAAGTAAATTTAGTGTCACAGTTTGCAATTCACAAACTGCTTTGATATGGATTAATTTATGCAATTTGCACTATGATCCCAAGAGGTAGGCTTTTTATTTTGGTCATCTTTTCTCTTCTGAATAGAATTTTATCCAAATTCATACAACCGGCAAGCCTAGTTCAGCGGCCAAAACTTAAGTGTAGAATTACTGTAAAACTCACCCTAGAGTAAGAAACCCTCTATTTTCATGTCAAATAAATCTAGGTCCTTTTTTCTCCTTTGTAACCTCTACTCCCCATTGTCCAGACTCTTTGCCTTACAGTTCCTACTTTGTTGTGTTAAATTACAAGGTAGTGAGGTATCATGATTTAGCTAAACATTTTTTCAACCACAATTATTTCAAATTATAATAATTAAACCAGAAACAATGGGGGAAAATGGGTTTTAAATTAAAAGTGAGCAATATGTTAAAATAAGCTAACACTCAAAGTGACTGGCTTTTCTTCGTGTATTTGCCTTTGTGTTGGTGCAGCGAATCACGTGCCAGCTCTTCCTTTCTCCCCAAACCAGATCTTAGGTCACTTCCTCCTCCTTTCCAAAACAACGAAAACGGTATTTCCTGATGTGGTCATCTATATGTTTACAAGAACTTTTTAGCCATTAAATTAGGTAGTTTTTCTGATTTACGTTTTGCCTTGGAGCCTCACAATCGCCGTGTCATTTAGTTTAGAATCAAGTCAAGAAAAGCTTGGGAATCGGTGTATGTAACTTGAGTCATGACCAATAACACGAATCTCTAAATAGGCATTCCAGCCAGAAGGAGAAACAAACAGGTTTCCCAACTTATAGGTCAAGGGTACTGAAGGGGGCAAAAGCCAGAAAAGGTTTAGAGTGATATTGAAATTTAAAAAGCAATACCGGCCAGGCATGGTGGCTCACGCCTGTAATCTCAGCACTTTGGGAAGTTGAGGCAGGTGGATCACGAGGTCAGGAGATCAAGACCACCCTGGCCAACATGATGAAACTCCATCTCCACTAAAAATACAAAAAAATTAGCCAGGCATGGGGGCATGTGTCTGTAGTTCCAGTTACTCGGGAGGCTGAGGCAGGGTAATCGCTTGAACCAAGAGGCAGAGGTTGCAGTGAGCTGAGATCACACCACTGCACTCTAGCCTGGCGACAGAGCAAAACTCTGTCTCAAAAAAAAGAAAAAGCAGTACCGCCCAAGTCCAGGTAAGTACAACTGCAGATGCTTATATGGGTCGTGTTAGACTCAGCTATACCATCTAAATCATTTTCAGTATAGAAAGATCTTGAAGAAAATAGGGTGCAATTGTCCACTGACAAAAACCACTTTACTAAGACTCAAGCTAAAATAACAGATCAAGATCTATTTACTGCTTCATCCATGTACCATTTCCCTAATACTAAGTGATCTGAATATCTCACTTCAAAGTTAAAGCACAATTAGAGCAATTTAAAATGTCTGAATAAGGAGTGTGATATTATTGCCATTGTCCAGTGTTCAATTTCATGAAGAAGCAGGAACAGACTCCTGAAAAAAAAAAAAAAAAAAAAAAAAAAAAAAAAAAAAAAAAAAAAAAAAAAAAACCCAGAGAAAAAAATGAACTATGGTTTCCACTTCTACAAAGCTCTTAGAGCATCACATGACTTTTTTTTGAATTGGCATATTACACGCCCCCTAAAAAAAACTGTATACTTTTATCCCAAGAAAAGCATTAGTCTTATTCTTTATTTGAATTAGTTTTTAGGCCAAATGCAGTAAAAGAAGTTGCATACATGATTGTGCTTAAATGTATAAATTGTGGCAAGACAAGGAGTAGTAAGAAATGTTTCTACTGTGAAGTTTTTAATAGAACATGTATCATTCATTTTTTCCCACTAATCCTCAACAGACTCCTATTATCTTCAAATAACAGGAGAGGCTGCCTGCCATTAATTTAATCACTGTGATTTCCTAAGAAATAAAGACTGATGTCTATTGAAAATTATTCCAATTATGCTTTTGAACCTGAGTTCAAAACTGGTAAAATTACCACTTTCAATAATATATTAACCTCCTAATTGTTATTCTCACAGTCATCTTAAAGCAAAGAATGACATTGGGGCCCAATTCTTTTATTCAACTTTGAGACACAATTATTTTTAAAACTTTGCTCAAGTTCAACTCACTCCAGGTGTAATCTAACCCTTTAAAATACATCCTAAGAAGCAATTTCTCTGCTTAAAAACAAAAACTGGGCCGAATCCTTTTTATTGTATCCCATAAAATCAAACTATGTAACCACTTGAAAATAAGTAGAAAGTAACTAGGTAAAAATAGAGAAAAGAAATCTCACGAAAACACCAATGATAGAAGTACTGGAGGCTGGATGCTGTAGGTTATGCCTCTAATACCAGCACTTTGGGAGGCCAAGCCTTGAGGTGTTTGACCCCAGTGAGAGAGCCAAATATAATAGGGTCCCCAACGTCCTCTGACCGGCTTATGCAGTGGGAGGCATGCGCATTGGGGTAGAGCCACGGAATTTCACACCATTTGCAGAGGGGAGGATTCTGGCTTCTCCTGTTCCCAGGTTGTAAGTGGGAATTCAGTCTCTAAGGCAGGAAGCCTACTAGCAGGACCCTTGCTTTGCTAGAGTCCCTGTTTCCCCCCTTTTTTCCCCCCTTTTTGCTTAATAAACCCTGACTTTCTACCCTTCAAAGTGTCTGTGAGTCTAATCTTTCATGGACATGTGACAAGAACCGGGCTTTTAGCTGACCTAAGGAGAAACTCTTACAACACTTGGAGTTCAAGATCACCCTGAGCAACAGAGTGAG